TGATCGCTTAAACCCTATGCTTCCTCATGCTACAACATGGATGAACCTTGAAAACATCATGCTGAGTGAAATCAGTCAGTCACAAAAGGACAAATACTGTATGATCTCACTCATATGAGGTAAGCAAATATATAGAAACCAAAGATTATTAGTGGTCACCAAGGGTGGGAGAGAGCGGAAAAGGGGGAGTTTTGCTTAGGGGGCATTGAGTTTATGGTAATGGTGGTAGAATGATTTGAAAAAGGATAGCGAGAGGGCTTGTACAACTTGAAGAATATAATCAATGTCACTTGACTATACATGTAGAAATTGAATTGGTGTATGTTTGGTTGTATATATTTTCATCACAATAAACAGAAACAAAAAGCCCTATGCTTCCCATCACACCGTGGCCTAACAGTCTGTTCGTGGACCTTCCCTGCCTGTCTCTGACCATGCCAGACCCTCACAACACCCCATTCATGATGGCCTTTCAGTTCCCCCAGAAAGCTACCCTGGCTCCCACTTGGGGGCCTTTGGCTTCAGGTTGTCATGTGGATCCTCATCACTCAGGCTTCTGCGCGAATGTCAACAGAGGCTTCCCTGAACCAGCCCACTCGGAGCAGCGTCTGCTCATTGTCATTCTCGACCACCTCACCTGCTGTACTTCTTCCCAACAGCTGGCCTGTCTCCCTTGACCAGGAAGCAGCTCTGTGAGAGCAAGGCCCCAGCCTTTCTTGCCTCCTACCGTAGCCCCACTCCCTGGTGAATTGCTGGACCTCAGTAAATACTTGAGGGCTGAATGGAGTTCTAGGCAGGCCCTCGAGTGTTTGCTTAAGTTTGGTTTTTGTGCAGAGTGAGCTTAAGGACAAGTATGAGTGGGCTGGCCCTGCTGCCTCCACGATGTCCAGTAACTGGCTTTCTCTTGCACAGGTTTCAAGCACCCGTTGATGAACAGTCACAGAATCTAGAAAACATGTATGAGGACGGTATGAATGACGAGACCCAGGCCAGGTAAATCAAGTCCTTCCAACTGACAGTGGGCAAATGATTTCATTTCAGAGACGAATATGGAGGACAAAGACCAAGGGTTTTATTTTCCTCTTTGGTCCTAGCTTGCCACTGACCAGCTCCATGACCCTGGCTGGGCCTCAGTTTGTAAAACAGGGGGGCAGAGAGTTTCTTAACCTGGATGAGTGACTTAAAACAAGATAGATGTGACTTTAGTAGAAACGGCCAATGTTTTATAAGAGGGCCCTGATTATCACCTGTATCACTTATGCTGCCGTAAACACTACTGACTGGCTTAGGTATTTACAGCAACTCTCTCTGATTCACTTAAATGAGAAAAAGTATCTGAGGACTGTTTCTTGGTGTGAGAACATTACTATTCACTGGAGCCAGTGTTTGCCAGAATACTTACTTGCCAGAAAAAGAAAAACTGTGCAGTAACAGATACATCACTGTGGCAGGCTGATCTTTTAGTATTTCACTTTCAGTAAAATGTGTTAATCACGGGGCAGAGAACTGTAGAATGTCAGAGCTGCAAAAGCCTAGATGGCATGAAGCAGTCCGCTAAATTGTCCAGTCACAAGGTTGGGGACAGAGCAGTAACTCATTGTGCCCTCCCCAGCATGGCAGCCATTCAGCTTAGATGATTCAGGAGAGTGTTAATTCAAAGCTTGATGTCACCATAAGCTGCTGAAACAGCCTAAACGTGCCAATGTTTTGGCATCTAAAAACTATCTCCTGGGGGAATGGCTCTATGTCAAAAATGAAATCAGAATATCATCCTTGATGAGATTTCTGGTTCTGAAGACATGGTCACCTACTAGTACTGTCCAGAAGGGCTTTCCATTCCGAAAGCTTTGGCCTATGTGGATTGTAGCACTGAGACATGGTGAGATGGAGGCAGCAGAGTAGAGGAGTTCATGCTAAACTGTTCCTTTAGGAATGAGCCAAGGAGTGCCACTGAAAAGAGAGAGAAGACGTCTGAACCCAAAGGAAACAGCCAGCCTCTGAGCAGTCTCACAGAAGAGCCTCTGCTGAAAAATAAAGATCACTATAGACCCAAACAGAAGAATGGCGGCGATGTCCCCACACGGAAAGAGCACCCAACTTAGCCCGTGGGGCTGGTCCCAGGCAGATGGGGTGTTGTACAACATGCACATACATCAAGGCCAGAGCATTTAAGAAACATGTTTTTCTCATTAGGATTATGTTTTCAAAGGGTAATAATTAATTCATCAACAGTAAAACCTAGTAACTCTATGGCAGGTCCTAACTTCAAATTCTTTGGCTTAAGTTTAGCTTTCCCCTGTGTTCACATGACATGAAATCTTGGCCCTAATCACAGTGCCTTGGGCACGACTCTTCCCAACCCAAATGGAAAATATTAGAAGAGTGAACATTCATACACAACCAAAGGCATCTTCTTCTAGAACACTCATTCGTCCAGCTTCTACTTACTGCATGTTTGTGTGCCGGGCCCCGTGGAGGACAGTGTGTGTGGGCCCATCAGGTTGGACTGGCTCAAGTTTTGGATACCAAGACTCCATCACTGAACAACACCTGCCTGGCCCCGGAGGATTCCGGTTTCTCTTGAATCACAGCCCTACTGTTCACCCAAGAATCTGAGCACTGACTCAGCAAAAGGGAGAACCTTCCCTTTACGGCAAGGGCTGAGTTGAGAAAGCAAGGGAGAAGTGCCTGGCCAGGGTGCTCAACAGGAGACTGTCCCCATCACAACTTCCCTGCTCTTTCCCCAAGCTGTGACTCAGATGTTCACCTTGTATTGATATTAAAGCACAATTCAGCACCAGCCGTTTTTCTAGTAGTTTTTCATATTCCCCACTCCTACATAGTACCCTTTATCAAGAAGAACGTAATCAATCCTTAAAAGAGAAAACTAACCTGCATGACCTAAACTTTTTAAAGTTTTGGAGGCAAAATGATGCCCAGGTAGTCATATTTTAAGCAAATATTCAGCTTCATTCAGTGGTTCAAACAGCAAATGGCTTCTGTGCTGGGGAGGAGGCCCTGGAGTACCTCACGTCAATACTCAACACCTCCATCACCAGTTGTGGTTGAGTCAGTTCCCACTCATGACGACCCCATGTGTGTCAGGGTAGAACTGTGCTCCAGAGGGTTTTTAATGGTTCGTTTTTTGGAAGTAGACTGCCAGGCCTTTTGGTTATCAGCCAAGCACTTAATAACCAGGAGTCCAACCAGGGACTCCAAGGCCTCCTGACCTGCTATTTCAGAGACATTGAACATCCCATTCCAAAGCATTATGGACTTCTGCAGTGGCCTAAAGGGCAAAGGGAATTCATTGTTACATACTGGTTAAATGCAGGAATTCAGAACTGAATTCAGCAGGTACAATGTATCTGGTTGATACTGCCAGTTCTGGGTATCCCTTCTCCAGATTTTCTACCCCCCCCACATAATCACACTATTGTTCATAGTGAAATCAAGTACAGTTTTATTTAAGAATTGGAAAGAATAATCAGTAATCTGTAAGAGGAAATCCAATTTAAAATATTTAAATAAACACTTCTGTATGTAAAAAGAAGAGCAGATTACTCCACCGAGTTACTCTCCTTGCTGTGGGATGGGTGCCCTTGAGAGGCGGCACTTGGGTCCACTCAGGAAGGTAGGGCCCTCCCAACCCACAACAAGGCACCAAGTCTTTCCTAGCAGGGGGACACAGAGTAAGCGTTTCCCACTGGAATGGAGATGTTGAGGTCTCCTGACTTTGCTGAACCACTACAAAGGCAAAAAACCGCGGGAGATCCCAACTATCTAAGGCAGTAAGAAAGTACAGAGAAGGGACAGTGGCTTACTGTACCTGGTACAGAGGGACTGCTACCAAAATGTGTGTGGCTAAGACCTCAAACCAAAAAAAAAACAACAAAAAAATCCGCTGCCGTTTTGTCGATTCCAACTCATAGCCTTATAGGACAGGGTAGAACAGCCCCACAGGGTTTTGAAGGCTGTAATCTTTACGGAAGCAGACTGCCACATCTTTCTCCTGTGGAGCAGCTGGTGGGTTCGAACTGCCAATCTTTTGGTTAGCAGCCAAGTGTTTAACCACTGCACCACCAGCACTCCTTGGCTAAGTCTTTATCAAACCTAAAATGTTAATACAACTTACTGGTCTAGGAATATTTTTCCCGATTATGTCAGTCACTCAGATCATTAAATAAATAGAAAGGCTTGATAAGGTTTGCTTTTTAGGTTGAAGAAGCCGTTCATCCCACTGAGGACGGTCGGGTGTGCTGCCTTCTGCCTGGGAAGGGCTCATCCACTGCCTTTCTGTAGATTGCCATTCTCAGCAGCACGCCAGCCCTCGCAAAATCCTTCACTTTACACTGGTTCAAAGTAGCTTTGCTCTATGCGACGCACATTTCCCATTTAAGAATCTCTACCTTCAAACCCGCAATGGAAACAGAAATCTCCTGACAGAGTCTTAATTTGAGGAAATTGGCACTATGGCCTTTACAGTGAACACCCGGAGAGCTGTTACCTCATTAACCCAATTCTCTGCCGCCTGTGCTGTCAGTGCCAAATTTATAAAGTTAAAAATAACAGGAAGATTGCGGCACAGGGTGAAAGTCAATCACCTGCCAATCCTGCCCTTTAATGGTTCATCTTTTACCACTGAGACGTTGCTGACTTCTGCCCTGGGATTACAAATGCGGGTGGGAAGGTTCTTGCACAGACCCTCGCCCATGCAACTGCTCTTTAAAGCAGAGCAGAACGCAATGTCAGTCCTGGGTGACGTGAGAGCAGCAGCGTCTCATCGTGAAGCACTAAGACCCACCTTCTGGGCGTGTGCAAGCTCGAGGGCCTGGCAGGAAGGGGGTTTCCCAGACTCTGGCAATGGAGGAGGCACAGATCACCAACGTCAACCTTTCGGTCTTACCGTCCACAAAGCCTGTCACGAGCAGCTCAGCATCAATCAAAAAGACAGCTTCGCGGCCCCCAGCAGGAAGGAAAGCTGGGTCCAATCTTGCTAGACACATTAAGAAAGGACTTTCCTTCAAGAGCTGGGAGTGGCTGCCAAGAACCCAGCTGCACCTTCTCCAAGCTTGCAATCCTACCACATGGAGTCTGCTTTGCTAAGCGTGGTTTGGAGAGCAAGTGTAAGACCAACGCAACCAACTCAAGTCCCCAGAGTATGTGCACGCTCCTATCCCAGCGGGGAGGGTCCACTCCAAAGAAATACGCCGCTGATGGCTCCTGCAAAGGCCTCATCTAGAATCTAATCACAAGACCAGAGTGAGGGCAGTGGGCCGTCTGTCTAGTTCTCACACCAGCACCTCTCACACCAGCAATCAACGAACCCATAAGCCTCTTTGGTATTTATAATAACAAGAAAATTAATTAAGCAATGAAATCTAAAAATGAGTAATATTCTGAATTGATAAAATTCTCTTCTGAACATACATTTTAGGTGTCTGGTACAGTTAACCAAATGTCTCCTTTATCATGTAGTTTTCATGTATTTCTTATACAGTATAGATTTCATTCATGTAATTTCTCATCTAAGTATTAAAAATGTCTGGCATTATTCTTCTAAAGCCTCACAACACCCCTGTGAGGTAGGTGGTATTGACCCCATTTTACAGATGGGGAGATCTAGGCACAGAAAGGTTAAGTGGCTCCTCGTAGGCCTCGTGGCATGACGTGGTGGCGGAGCTGGGCTCTGGCCATGGGGCCACGCCGCCTTCACATTCACACTTCATCAGTGCCACTGCGAAACCAAACGGGAGGGTTGCACACCGAGACCCAGTTCCAAATCTACTCCAGAATCAAATAAGCTTTGCACCTCTTAAAGCTTAATGTCTGACTCATAAAGCCAACCACTCTCCTCGAACTTGGAAAAAAAAACCCGACTCAAGTGGGGTTACTTGCTCTATTTAAGACTATTTTCGTGAGTCGATTTGCTTGAATTTTAGTTGTATTCGCTAAAACCCCTTTGGAAAAGACAGTTTGAAACAGCATTAGGAACCACGGGATTTGGAGAGCATAACATGGGAAACAATAGTTAACAGATTTAAAGTGAAACACAAAAAACTAAGCGATGGTAAAATGAGACTAAAATCCCAAATAAACGGAGAGTGATATTTCTCACCTTGTAATGACACCCTGCATGAAGCAGGCAGGCATTCACTAAGCACTTGTTGGCTAAAGGGAAAAGGACACATCTTTGACATGCCTGTCACTGGTAACAGTCCTCCCTTGGGAGAAGAGCAGGTGCAAAGATCTCGGGAGAACCCAAAGGGATCTGGGGTCTCCCTGGACTGGGGGCTAGGGTCAGTGTGGCTGGTGTCACTAACACGACACAAAGCCACACCGGGCCAGAGCGTCTTGAGGTGTCTCTGCTTACTTGCTGACCCATAAAAGCTGCAGCTATAAACCCGAAAGGAGGCCCCTTGGAATCTACACTGCTATTATAAAAAATAGATATATAAATACGATTAAATATGACTAGCCAAAACATCTTATAAGGAAGTTATCTTTAAAAGTGTATAGATGTTCATGCATTTGAGGACAGAAATAAAGAGGTTAAAGCTGTGCTGTTTGGGGTTTCCTGTTAAAACGAAAGGGTTTAAATGTATTTCTAATGCTAAGAAGCATGGATGCCTGCTTTCTGCCGCAGAAGCTTTGCTGCAGACAGGGGCCCATCTCTCCCAGGGTGTCTGTTATAACTCAGACACACTCTTGCCTCGTGGGGAAATGGGGCACAGCCTCGTCTTCTGCCAGGTGGTGTTGAAGCAGTTGCTGAGTATTGCTGTTGCCTGCGCCTCACTGGCCTCTCATCTGTCCGACCTCGATTCAGCACAGGAATGAAATCACCTGGTGGGTCTTTTAGTCCTAAGGCCTTCTGACCGTTTGGTCTTGAGTAACATTCCAGAAGAGTATTTAGTAACATATAAAATGATTAAGAAAGTTTTTCTTCCAGGGTAGCCAGCCAGAGCGGTTGGTCTCGTCCCAGGCTGCATGGAACCAGGCCCTCAGCCCCGCCTGGCCCTCCACTGCCCGTTATAGCTCCACCTTGACTCCCTTGATGAAAGGCAGGCCCGTGGGCACCCTCTTCTTGTACTCCAGGTACTCCTCTCCGAAAAAGTGAATCAGGGAGATCTCTTCCTCTTCCGTTCGATCTCGGAAAAACCGCCAAACCGTCAAGGCGTAGGCGACCCCACAGATTGGGTTACAGAGCATCACCTGGCAGAGGGAGCAGACACGAAGCTAGTCAGCTCATGTGTTTCTCCCACACCCACAGGGTTTCCGTGCCAAGGGCCCAAGAGACTCTGGTACACTAGTGAGGTCTCTGAGAGGCAGTCACTTGCCCACTGCTGTTACACCGTAGGGAACCGAAAGCACACCATTACTTTCATGTGGAGCTCAAACTCATCCCTGTAGCTTTCTTTCAGACCCTTGCCTGTTGCTGCTCTTACCTGAGATAGAGCTAAAAATTAAAAGGAAAGACCATCTTCTTGGATTCTAACACTCAGGTCAGGGTGACAGCAGCTCCTCCTCCCACCCCCTGAAGCGTGAACTTCCCATCCGGAGTTCTGTTCCTGCGCGTGCTGCCTTCCTGTCCTGGCCCTCTGCCACACCCTAACGTGGGCCCCCTGCCTCTTCCCTCCACAGCCTTTCCCTCCATACAGATACACTGCTACCCAACTGAGCTTCTGAAAACACTTTCATCAAATCACTCCCCTGCTCAGGAAGCTCAAACACCTCAACCCAGCTCATTAGCCTAGCACTCAAGGCCCTAATAAGCAGCGCCTCGGCCCTCTCCTTCCAGTCCTTTCCCTCCTCTTCCCCTCAGTGTTCATACTGTCTACCTCCTACCTCCTTCACTCCTGTGTTTTTGCCACTTTTTGAGAATGTTTTCCCCACAGATCCACAGCCAAACAGTCCTTCAAAGCCAAAAGCATCCCCCAGCTCCTGGAGGAGTCCCCTCACCCACCTGCCCACTGCCTGGCCCCACTGAGTCCCATAGGCAGGTGTCTCTTTCCCCAGGTAAGCCACCGGCACCTACAGAGCCAGGCACACGCCTTCCACCTCTTATTCTTGACCACTGCTGCTCCAGCACTTGCTGTGTTCCCAGCACCAGGAAAAGCCCTTCACACCCACCAGGCCATTTAACCCTCCCAGCAAACCTCGGGGTAGTGCTGCTACTCCCACTTTAATATAAGGACAGGGAGGCCCATTGCTGGAGTCAGGACTGGACCAGCCACACCCGTTACGGAGCCATGAAATCCACCGGGAGCATCGGGAGCAGCATTACCAGTCGACTGTACGAGACAGAAAATACTGAGTCTTATACACAGTCGACGTTAAGTCTCATGCTGTCAAAGTCTTGTTTGGTTTATACACACGTGTGTGCTGGTTCACGATCTAAAAAGATGTGTGGTCAGAAAGGTGTGGAAACTCTCTAGTCCTCGAGCCCTTGGGTGTATGGTAAGTATTTATAACAAGCATCGCTATTCAACTAACACAAGTGTGTTCCAGGGAACGTGACTGTGAATGCGGGAGCTTGATATGTTCCAGAAACACAAGTTTTAGAATACATCTTAGGGTGGAACAGTTTGGAGAAAGATGGAGAGAATGGTTGAACAACTTGAAGAATGTAATCAATGTCACAGAGTTGGACATGTAGCAGTTGTTGAAATGGTGTATGGCTGTGTACATTTTCACACACACACACACACAAAACAAAACCAAAAAAAACCGAGTCTTTCTCTTTATTGGCCATGCAATTCTGTTCTATATTTTTCTGCTAACAAGAAATAAATCAGAAAAAGTATAGGCAAGTCACAAAATAAATAAATTAATAAATCTTATGCTGTAACCCATCACCTTTGGGGAGGCCACCAGAGAGTCCTGACCGACTGTGCTGTGCATTGCCAATGGGAGGCCTGGGGCTCTGCCTGGATTTCCCCAAAGAGGTGACAAACTATCCATATTCTATTCACCTTCTCTGGGCCAAGTCCTTCTGGGGCCAAGAGTACAGATTCAAGAGACAACAGTCAAGAAACAAAGGTTCAGTCTGCCATTTAGACAGGACAAAGCAACAAGCTCACCTTAAACCTCATGAATGCCCTCGGCCTCATTACTATATTTCTATGCAAACAACGCGCCTTCTACGTTTGTTTGCCAACTGTGCCCTCCGCCCCGCCAGGTATTTTCATAACCTGCCATGCTGATTTTTTAACGTGTTGCTGTGAAAAAAAATTAGCATAGCACTCTGGAAAATAAAATACCTGGTGGGGCGGGGGGCAGGTAGAGGGCATGGGTGGCAAACAAATGTAGAAGGCACATTATCTGTGTAAAAATAGTGCAATACTTAGGTCTAATGAAAATCAGCTGTCATTATTCCACTAGGTTGGGCAATGGGCACCCCTGGCCTCAGCCGTGGGGTCATGCAGATCTAGGTTCAGCAGGCAGAGAAGGGGTACAGCAGATGGGTCACAACGCCTAGAATCACCAAGAAGTTACAAGTTTAGGACATCCATTAGGCACAGAGTAAAAACACTCATGACTACATCAGTTCTCCCAACTCTTGACTTGTACTTCATTATCACTTGAAACATGCTAAAATTAAGAGATCAACAATATACCTTGTGGCTACCCTAAAAACCACTGACTTGTACACTTTAAAACAGTGACTTGTATGTCAATTATATCTCAAAAAAAAAAAAAAAAAAATTCAAGGGGGCCAGTCTCTTATTGGATACTATACCTGGGTTCCGATACTCCAGTAAAACCACCCAACGTAAGAAGGGTGCCGAAACCAAGCGTACACTCCACTCGTCACCAGAGTATGAGTGTCTGACTTTTCGTTCTGCACCACGTGGTTGAAATTGGAACCAGCTGTAAACATGGCTGCTTTCCTCAGACACTCCCCAAAGACCACCATCAGCAGCCCAGTGGCACTCAGCCAGGTGATCTGCTTCAGTTCTGCGGGAAAGAGGTATCAGTGACAAACATAACACTGTAGAGTCCTCCCTTTTCACTGCTTAAAATGAACCTATTTCTCCAAAGATGGAAACATCAGAAAACGTGCTAGTGGGCAGTTAGCGTTCGCCATCACCACATTAAATTATGAACAAACATGGTCCCCGAAGTTGTGCTGTTTGTCCGTTTACTTCAAAGTGGCAGCAACCCTGTTAGAGCATCAAGATAAAGAAGTATTCCTCTCCCAGAGAGATGGACTCTCTGGTTCATGTCTGTCACACAGTGTCCTTCACTTGGGGACCACAGGTACAGCTAAGCAGAGAACTACTAACCTAAAGGCTAGCGGTCTGAATTCACCCAGTGGTGCCACAGAAGAAAGGCCTGGGAATCTGCTCCTGTTAAGATTGTTGTTGGGTGCCATCAAGTAGACTCTGACCCCATGTAACAGAGTAGAACTGCCCCATAGGGTTTTCTTGGCTGTAATCTTCATGGGATCAGATCGCCAGGTCTTTCCTCCACAGAGTGGCTGGGTGGGTTCAAACTGCCAACTTTTTGGTTAGCAGCTGAGTGCTTAACCCTTGTGCCACCAGGGTTCCTCTGTAAAGATTACAGCCAAGAAAATCCTATGGATCACAGTTCTACTCTGTAACACACAGGGTCACCATGGGTTAGAACCAACTCAATGGCAATGTGTTTGGGTTCTGGTTTGGGAGCCACACACATTTTCTTTCATTTACTGTGGGAAGTTCAATTCCAGAGTAGGTTCCAGATGCAGAAGTTTATTGCTAATAAAATCTTCACCTAAAATTTCTCAACTCATACCCAAAAAAACCCAAACCCATTGCTATCAAGTCGATTCTGACTCATAGTGACCCTATAGGACAGAGTAGAATTGCCCCATAGGGTTTCCAAGGCTGTTATCTTTACAGAAGCAGACTGCCACATCTTTCTCCCATGGAGCAGCTGGTGGGTTCAAACCACTGACCTTTCAGTTAGCAACTGAGCACTTAACCACTGTGCCACTAGGGCTTTCTCAAGTCATAGAAAATACATATACCAAACTTCCTCTAATTGCAAAATTAGGATTCCAACTATTAAGAGTTGGGAAGTCACACTAGATGGTGTCCTATATTATGGGAGGTTTAAAGCAAAAGGTCCATATGTCCTCAATTCAGAATCCAGAAGCGGAGTTCCCGGGCAGTGCTCGTCCTTATAAATAGCTTAGTGAGGACTGAAGTCTCGGGGAAAACTGTTCATAGGGATTAGGCCTGAGAGGTGAACCAATGTCACTGCCTTGGCTTTCATGGAAGCCACCTTCTCCCCTCTGGAAGGGGAAAGCAGGGCACACTAACCTGGCCAGAAGATATTTTCGAGTGTGAACTCTATCCAAGAAGAAAGGGCAGCTACAGTATACTCCAGACTGTGATTCAGGAGAAAGGAATCCAAGGATAGACTTTTGGGATTATTAACTGCCGTTACTAAGTATTCAGAATAGTGAAACAATGACAGGGAGCACATGTACCTATTGAAAAACAAAAAGAGACAAATCGGGGCAAGGGAATCAAGTTAGCCATAAACAAAAGTACAGATCTGGGCCTGCTAACTGTCCCTGAATTCTATAATGAAATACCTGTTGTCGCCTGCCTAGAGAAGCCATCAGGTGCCTGTATGTAGTGTTACACCCTCAGGTTTGCAGAGTGGGGCTTTAAAGGGACTACGTTCAAATGTCATCAGCAAAAAAGTAGGTTAGGAAGGCATTATGGACCCTTTAGCCCTTTTTAAAATGACAACACACACGGTAAAACACGAAAGAGGGAAATACCAAAATAAAGTAGTGATGTATGTCAGGTACAAAAGTTCAACAAAACTGAAATCATTCCAGCAAAGAAGGGTTAGATGGCTAAGCGTATTGATAATAGGAGATGAAGCTTTTTACCTTGAAGCCACTGGTTCATATCCAGGTCAGGGACTAGAAGGCTCAAGGGATTGAAATCATAGTGTAGGGGAAAATCCTACACTGGCCGTGGGGGCTGCACTAGATGTGACCTAATGGAAATTAGAGACGGAAAAGGCCCATGAAGACAAGCTGGAGCCTTAACCCTTCCTGTCACTGAGAATCTGTGTCCCGTTCCAGGAAGGGCGCATCACCTAACTGAATGCTTTCCCAGCAGCTACAGTGCCGACAAGGGCACCTGTCAGGAGTGTACAAGGGAGACCCTTTCTGCCTGTGACAGAACCAACCAATGGGCAGGAAATCACAAGGTTTGAGATATGGAAATCTAGGCAGAAACTAGCGACCTCTTTCCACAGAACCCTAAACTGCCTCAGGGGGTCAAAGATGAGATGTGGGGAGGACAGGCGGCTGCTGACCCTCTGATCCAGCCACCCTCTCCTCAAAATCATTATTCCAAAGGTACTTCTTACCAGCCAAAGTGATTCCAAGAAGACTGGCTAAAACTTAGCAGCATGCCGCAGCCAAAGACAAAACCAAGGAAACATGCTCGAATGGCTATCTGAAATAGACCCAAAAGAGCTCAGTCACCCAGCCGTTCTGGGAGCACAAAACTAGGCTGCTGGCTTTCCTGGGATAAGTAGGCCACTTGCAGGAACAAAGCGGATTTGCTCAGCAGTTAAGGGGCTGAAGACAGGCGGCCTGGGTTCAAATACCACTGGCATCCCTCAGCGGCTGTGTGGCCTTGGGCAAGTTACTTAGCCTCCTGGATCTGCTTCTCCCATCCACAAAGTGGGAATAATAACAGTACCTACCTCTTAGGACTGCTGAGAAGATTACCCATGTAAAGCACTTAGAAGTGCTACATTAAGTTTTAGCCGTCGTTACTATTATTCAGGGCTGGGAGAACATCCTGGAAATCCTGCTTATGGGCAGAATCTTCCCAAATCCCTTCAGCAAACCTAGCCAGGGCACCCGCCCTCTCCACGGACATGCGGGGCCTTTGACCTCAGACTTGACAGCAGATTAGGCTCCACACCTTAAATTACATAAAACAACTGGAAGGCTCCCTCCTCCCCACCCCAACGCATCTGCCACAGCTGCAACTGAACACCCACTCCGCCGGGTGGAGGAAGCCCCGCACCGGACGCCCCCAGAGCCCTGAGAGGCGGGGTCGTTCGTCCGACCTGAACTTGCAAATCAAAAGCACGCCCGTGGAAGGAGTGCCCTCTCCGCGGACCCCGCTCCTGGCAGCCCTGGCCCTGGGGAAGAGATGCGGGGTCCCTGCCACGGCCCGCGACCCGCCCGGCCCGGCCCGCACCTGGTAGCGCGGGGGCCGGTAGAGCAGCAGCAGCAGCGCGTTGAGCCCAGCCACGTAGAGCGCCAGCCCGGTGCGGCCCTGCAGGCCAGCGCGTGTGAGCAGCGGCAGCGCGAGCACCGAGGCTCCCAGCAGGAAAGTGGCGAGGCTGAGACGCGCCTCCGAGCCTGGCGGAGCCCGCGCCATGCAGCCCGCCATGGCGCAGAGCGGCGGACGAACAAGCAGCGACGGCGGCGGCCGTAGCTCCGGGAAACCCGCCAGCCGCGCCTGCGCACTGCGCCGCCGAAGCCGCGACGGGAAGGGCAGCCTGCCGGCAGCTACGCGCCCGCTGATAGTTCTCGCGAGACCGCTGCCCCGCGGGGCTGCTGGCCTGAATTTGGCTGGAGCTCGCTGTCCCGCCCCGCCCCGCCCCGCCCGGGTCTCTTGGGGGATTCATGACCCAGGCCGAGTGGCGGCGGAGTCGGGGCTACCGTGCGCCTCAATCTTGGATTCAGAAGTCACCGCCGGCGTGTGTCTCAAATTTGCGCCAAACTCAAAAATGGCCAGTCCGAAAAAATGACTTGAAATTTGAAACGACTCCACACCGGGCCCAGCCCCGCGTCGTCCCTCCCCGCCGCCCTCGAAGCCCGGCACTCTCCTGCGCGCAGACGCGTACGGGGCAGCTCCCTTACGCCTCCTCGGAGTCCGCGGGCTGGGTGCTTGCGAGGGCCACTCGCCCCTCACTTTACAGGTTTCCCTGGGCGTCCTTGGAAGCCACCTAAATACCCCACACTCAGGCATCAGGCGAGGGGGATCACTGACCATTTAAACCCGTGTGCAAATACTCAGGTTAAGTTTTGCATTGACTTGGCTTGAGGGGGAATAAAAAGGATATATACGAGCCTGGAACAAGGATTGAGATGTATACCAAAGTTTAACATCAAGCATCTTTAAGTGGTAGAATGCTGGGCGATTTTTACTATTTCTCTGTAAGTTCTTGTATTTTATATATTGCCTATAATAAACATATATGTTTTACAATCAGAAATCGCTCTTTACTTTTTTAAAGGGTAAATGCCCCACCGCGGGTAGTCACAGAGCGGTGATGGAGGAGAAAGTCAAGTAAACGGATGACTAGATACACTGGTGGGCCGGTGAGCAGGGGCCGAGTAAGGGTGGAGAGGAGAGAGAAGAGGCCACCCAGGGAGAGTCAGAGGGTGGGAGCGGGAAGGCCAAGGAGGCTTCTGGGAAGAGACTGGGAGCTGGGCCTTGGGGCCCAGGCTGGAGCCCGCCTGCCGCTGGAAGTGAGAGCAAGGGCATCCACTGGAGGGAGGGCACAGCGTTCTCACAGGCGGAGGCAGGAGGGAAACAAGCCTGAGGCAGGATAGGGGACAGGCCCCAGGAGAGGGGGAAGGAGTCCGGGCAGCTGAGCTAGAGGAGGTATGAAAAGCCTGGCTGGCATCCCAGGCCCCTACGCTGCTGCAGCCTAGCATTGTAGCCTGGGGCAAATCAATTCTATGAGCCTCAGTTTCTCTAAAATGGGGGTCCTGATCTGACTGTCACTCGATGATACACTTCTATAAAGTAAAACTAAACCAAACCTGTTGCTGTTGAGTCGATTCCGACTCATAATGACCCTATAGGACAGAGTAGAACCGCCCCCATAGGGTTTCCAAGGATTGGCTGGTCGATTTGAACTGCCGAACCTTTTGGTTAGCAGCCATAGCTCACCTTAGCTCTTAACCACTGCGCCACCAGGCCTCCATAAAGTACTGTAAGTACTTCTGTAAGTCTATAAGTACTTCTATAAGTCCATAAGTACTTCTATAAAAACCCAAAGTAATTCTATAAAGCCCCAAAACACAAAACCAAGCCTGTGGCCAATGAGTTGATTCTGACTCATGATGATCCCATGTTACAGAGTAGAACTGCTCCATAGAGTTTTCTTGGCTGTAACCTTAACAGATGCAGACCACCAGGCCTTTCTTCCACGGTACCCCTGAGTGGGCTCAAACCGCCAACTTTTAGGTTAGAAGTCAAGCGCAAACTATTTTGGTCACCTAGGGACCACCTATAAAGGCCAGTGCCATTTCTAAATGGTGCTCAGAAGACATTTGCTAAACTTGGGTAATGGGAATTGAAAGGAAATTTGATGTTTTACAATCCCAAAGTCACCCGGTTGCAGTGCCACATGTAAAGAAGGCATGGGTGTCCTGGGGGCTGAGAGATGGAGCTCCTGGCCCTGCCCTAAATTTCTCAGGGTCTCCCCGCCCCCCAACTCAGGAGTTCTGCTTCAGGATGCCCTGAGGCCACTAGAGGGCACTCATTGCATCCTCATACCTGGGAGGGAGCCTGGTCCTGGGGTGGAAAGCCAATCCCTGAAGTTCCTCCTATGGTTGTTGGCATTTGCCCTCTACCCTCTATTTCTCGCCCCAATTTACCCCTGAACGCCGTCACCGTTCTGGAGGCATAGAGTAACGTGTCATTCAGACCGGAGAACTAGAACCTATGCAGCCCTCTCCTTGACCTGGCACCTCCCTAAGCCCTCCATCTTCATCAGCCCCATTGGAGAATGAAGGAAGAGAGGGGAAACAGTCCACCCAGGTGGGGCCAGATCTAAAGGAAGGGAGAGGTTTTGAAGTCACTGGAGTTGCTGAATGTGCCAGGGCGTGAACACACAAGCCTACACCCAGAGAAACAGTCATACACAGACACACTCAGAAACACAGAAAGACAGTCATTCACACAGAGGCAGACAGAGACCTGCTTTTGAAATCTGATCAGATAAATCCAATACGCACCAAGCTTTCCAGTGTGGAAAGCATAAGGCTTGGAGAATGGCAAGCCTACAAAAATGTAAGAAAATAAGAAAAACTACTCCACTCTGTGGATGCCTTGCTGCCTTTCCTTGTAAATAAGCATCTGAATATGTTTTGTCCTAGGCACTGGGAGGCCCGCACAAAGGGACCCTTTCTCTTGCAGGAAGATCCCTTTGCAGTCCCCCTTTGCCCCCCCCAAAACGCCCCTCCTGTCAACCTGCCATCCGCCCACCCGGTGAGGGGGCTTTTCTTCATGGGCCCATGGGGATCCCTCCTGTTTTAAAGAGTGCTGAGACCCACCTTGTAACATTTGCAAGTTAAACTGCAGGCTGAGAATAAATTAGTCTTTCTTTTCTTAGAAAAAAATCCCTCAGAAGAGACCCTGAATAAGTAAAGCATCACTCAAGAAGAACAACAAAGTGGGAGGCTTCACACTACCTGATTTTAGAACCTATTATACTGCCATGGTAGTCAAAACAGCCTGGTACTGGTACA